TCCACTTCTCTATCCTTTTCATAACTCAATCGTATATCAATTGGTATTGCTATCCTTATCCAAAATCTGTTCTGCATATGAAGTTAAAAGGTTAAAGAATGAAGGGAATGACATACGATAAAAGAACAGTGAATCATAAAATTGAGGAAAAGAAAATGGATTTGAAAATCAAGGTTAAGATTGAAATGGAAAATAGTAGTTTGGCCTGGAAGGTCTTCGAAGTTTTCCGTTAAACTTTTTCACCATGAATACATGATATTTCGGAGTAGGGGTGGGTTCCTGGCGATGTCCAAGTTCCGATAACACTAGTTAATTACTAGTTCCAAGGCTACCAATTAGTTCTTACTTTTACAAAAAGTCCTTGTAAACCAATGATTACAAGTACTACAATTTACAACAGCGTGATATAAATTTTTTTTTTCATTATAAATCCAATTTATCCTTTTTGAGAAATATTTCGATAATTTCCGAAGGTTCTCAGGATTGCATAGTTTTCTTCTATTACTTTAACGTTGCTCGGAAATATTCCTGCGGGAAGGTAAGGTGGGAGAGGGAAGAGAAAGCATCTTCTACTTCTTTTACAGATAAGCAATTTTTAAGCGCTTATGACATTCAAATCAAGAAGGAAGCAATAATTTAAGATTTTCAGAAAGATACTTTGTTATATGTTTTACATATTTTTCAGATTTATTTCAACTTTAAGAAGAAAACACCGGCGAGAGAAAGGACGTTATTGTTACCTGATCATGTTTCGGTGGATGCAACTGTACCACTTTATCCGAAACTTATTTTCTAACTTTTGACTGAAACTGATATAACACTTTTGAAAGCTGTTCACATATCAATGATAAAATGCAACATTACCAACAACAAATATTAAAACAATGCTCACAAATTATGATGGAAAAGAGATTTTCTCCCAAAACGCTGATGTCTCGTAGTTAACTATAATGTGGAAAGTGAAAGGTCTAGCAAATTCTTGCGCATCAATTCTCGGTTTGGTTTAGGATGAAAAGATAAAAGGAAACTTCATTTTATTTACTGTTTTGGGATTTAGGGTTGCGTAAGAATGGCTGATATTTTAGATTCCAAATTTCGCTTAATTTTGTATTGAATTCGTTTTAATTTTTTTTAGAAATTTTTGTTAAATTTGGTCTAAATTCCTTTTTTAATTTTCTAATATCTTATTTCCTTTATTTCATAGCTGCAGTTTCTATTTGTCTAATCTTTGCATAAAAAAGCGTTTCAATTCAAAAATAAGCTAAGATAATGTCAACAATTATAATGGCGACGATCCCACAAAACTTATGATTTTTTTACCTTTTGAATTTCTCGACATTAAAATTATTTAGTAATTTTGTTTCAGTAGCACTTTTTGACCATTTCCATTTTTAATTTATCAGATTTTATTCTGTTCCTTTCTTCAAACATTTCATTTGATTTTTGGAATATACTCATCTTTCAGGATGTCGTACCAAATACAAACTCATTTTGGGAGAAACTTTTCTAAACAAATCAAGAAATTATGAATTGCCAGTATTAACTTAATATTTCGTGATGATTCATTTATAATGCGCTCTTCATGAATGATAGGTACTTGTTAGTTCGATACATGATTATATCACGTGTATTGCTATGAAGTTCTTACTTAGGAAGCGCTAATTAGTAAGACGTTTCAAATGAATGTTAGTATGAGGCAGTTGAAGAGTGAAAGTGAATGATAATACATTCTAATGTTCATCAAAAATTTTCTGGAATAATTTATGTTTCAACAATAATTTAGCGACAAATTCTGCAGCTATGCAAAAGACCAATTTTCTAATGAATTTTTGAACTTGCTAACCTCCCTAGAATCCTTTTCTTGTCACTGCTGATGATTCTTATTTGGGACTCTTTACTAAGGTATGATCAGTGGTTTTGGCGCTTTTTCATTTTTTTTTTATATCTTCATTTCAAACCAACTCACCATTGATTGAATCCTGATAATAGATGATATTATGTTTCACGCTATAGAACACATTAAACAGGTGTTAAACTCAACACAACTTTGGGCGGTAACTTACGCAAAATGCAGTCATACTTGGATGATAAAATTAAGTTTGAATTTTGGGAATGATTAGGGAACATATCCGAAAAATTGGGTAGCTCATGAAAACAGGGAAGTGTTAATGGTTAAGCAATATTGAAAAAACAGATGAAAAAGCAAGTGTTTCCTGAACTTCAAATAATTAGTGAAAAAGGTGCAAGCAAAGAGCGATTTGTTCGCCGATCTGAAAATAGATGTCGCGCACACTTTTGGCGGAAAAATTCTGTGTAATTTGAGTTCTCCATTGAGCGTTTACAGAATTATCCTTGGAAAGAAAGGAAAAGAAAAAAGTTGCCTTCAAGTAGCGTCAAGAACTGCAAATCATGATGGTTGGGGATGTAAACTTATGTACCATAAACTTGCTTGCTGGTAACGAAGGATTCTCTACTCTGATTCAATTTCATTCAACTTTGCTAGGGTTTCCAGGAATTTTGGTAAGAATCCGTGACTTTTAGAGCACATTTAAAAAGTAGTTGCTGAACTAAATTTACTGGTCAGAACTTATCGAAATACTTTTTATGCCTTGCAAAAGAGACAAATTAAAATTTTCTACTTATCACAACAAAGTTATGTTTACGACACATATTAACTCGTTGTTTTGATTTACTTATTAACTCTTATTGTTATTCATTGTTTGAAATTTTTTGATACATAAAAGGAGCGAAAATGTACGCTTGAAGGCAGATGTCACCATGAATCAGTTTGTTAATCAATAATTAATATGGAACGAAAATTTTTTTCCTAATTTCATTTCCCACTAAGATTGAATTCGGTTCTTCTACATTAAAGGATTAAAGGACGATTTAAGCTTTTGATTTACTTTTAAATATTAACCTATGGGTTGTTTTTATTATCTTTTGATAATATGCTGTTCTTTTAAATGTCACCTCATGTTTTAAATATGATGATCATTTTAAAAATATTTCACTTCAAGAATCCTTTTTTAAATTTTACAAACAGAAATTCAATATTATGAATAAAATGTGCCTTTTGGTACATGTCATCTTTTCTTAACAGGTTATCAGATCATCTGATTATCTGTTCAGTAAAATAATTTTGACGTTTCTTATTTCAAAAGATGCAAATTTTCCCCTAAAAACACATGACTCTTTCATGTAAAGAGATCATTCGACTTACTGAGTAGTATTATGGTGTATTTCTGAGTGTAATAAATAATTTAGAAAGTTTACAAATGCCATGTAAATGCCATGTTACTTTACATTCAATTTAACTAAATTCTCTTCTCTCGTTTTTTTTCAAAACAACAGAAAATATATTTCTGTTGAAGTCCAATGAATAGTTACAAGGCCTACTTTAAATGACAAGAAATTTTTCTTTTAATTTAAAAGATCAAGCGAGATGGATTTTTATATTTCCATGTTTTTTTTATTTTGTCAAAAAAAGTTTGTGTGAGATTTTCGAAGGAATTGTATCGCTTTTTAATTTTGTTGCATCATTTTCAGTGCTTGATTAAAAAGAGATCTCATTATCAATTCTCCACTCTAATTCAATTATATTCAGCTTCGTTAGGATTTCCAGGGATTTTCAATAAAATTTGTCATCCTTAAGCCACATTTAAAAAATAGATCATCTTGGATTACCATGTAATCTCATACCTTGATATTACTGTGTGGTTTGATTATCTTAACTATTAATAGGGATTGGGTGGAAAAGATCGCACTTATATATATAAAAATATATTTATTCCCTAGAACATATATGCTTGAAATTGTGGAGTGGGAAACATTATTAACTTGTTCTGCAAGATACAAAATCTGCGATATGCAATCATGTCTTATATTCTTCCTCTTTGCTCTCACATTAATAACTTTAAATGAAGTGATAGTTGCTGAAAACGTTTCAATCCACCTTTTTTGCGTATTCTATGGGTTGATTTCAAACAACACAAAAAATGCTTCAAATAAGTTGAAATACGATTCAAATAAGATTTTAAAACTTCGAACAAGATCCATTTGATAAATTAAGATAGTTTAGAGGAAATTTTGCGAAACTAAGGTTATTTATTGCTTTGCCTAAGCGACAAAAGCACATTTCATCATAATAGGTAAATAGCTATCTGATGAATAATGCTCTTTTGTTCTACTGTAAAAGTGTTTACCTTGAGGAACAAAAAGTTGCCTATTCAGTGGGAATATTGCCGCTTACCTTTGACTTCATGTCCTTTGCTTTCCTTTCACTTATATCTTTTTATAGTGACAACTTTTCCACTAGTTTTTCACTCATTGCTGAGAAAATTAAAAAATACACGAGCACAACGGCAGTATTTGATACATTTACAAATAAGTTCATAAAAATTAAATTTAAGTCAAAATGCCGATGAAATTTTATCATGTATTTGAATTTGCACAGTACCAGGCTGTTAATGTCATCCGGAGATACGTCATATTGAATTTATTTCACGTTACCAATCATATTATTTTTTTTTATTTATTGATTTGTATCAGTGATGGTGATCAAACTGATGCGATGTTTGTTTCGACTCATAAATTTGAATTAAGCCTTTCTTTTCAGCGCTACAAACACTATAAAGTGAGTCAGCTGAAGTGTGCCATAGAATGACAACAGTTTATTTGTTTGCTGGCACATTACTTTTGCCTGTACTTTTCGTTTGGTAAGATATCTTCTGTTGATGATTACAGCAACTGTCAGATGAATCGTCTGAACTTTTTCAATTTCACAGTTCTCCACTTCAGAAATACTTGTAAATATGCCAAGTTGGGAAGTCAAAATTTCAAAATAATTATTATTAAAAAATATTCCATAAAATCCATAATTATTCGAAATTTGTCCAAAATTAAAATTTGTTTGAATTAATTTTCAAGTTATCTCAGAACCATTTTCTTGTCATGCTTTTTTTGACAAAAAAAAAATTCAAAACTGAAGCAATGCCCCAATGGATCGTGCCAGACGATCAGATAAAGCTCTGGAACAAATTGCATCGGCTATCAACGGTGCTCTGAGGCTGCGTTATGGGAAACGATCACACAACCCTGATCTGTACGATAAAATCATCACACCACCGTTAGTTTAACCTGTTCGGTCCATCGTCACCTATGTGTCAACTCTCATGTTCATAACACTGTTAAAAGATTTACAGTAGGAATAAGATTTGCTCTATTATGAGAATATGGACAAGAGTGAAATAATAAAGTGCTTAAGGAAGTGAAAAATCCTTAGGCTTTCGAATTTGGAGAAACTGAAATGTAGTTTTGGAGCCAAGCAAAGCAAAGTTTTCAGTAATCAAGATGTGTGATATTCATGGTTGCTATTGAGGATAACAAAAAGTTTAGTGTCTGAAAGAAATTCTCATATCCTTACAGAAAAGAATTTACCCAGTTTTTTGAATTTCTCAATTGTTTCCATTCCAAATTCATTGCATCTTTCCCGAGATAAATTGGGATTTGTAATCTGCAGTGAGGACATGTGGGCGGGAATTACTTGTGGATATTTCTCTTTCTAACATCCAAAGAAATAGCTGAAATTATTCCATAGGAAAGGTATTTTCTTTATCAGTACTGGATTTAGGCCCTAATAAATTTTTTCTAGAGAAACTTTTCCCAGACTCGTACCTAAATAAACTAGGAACATCAGATTTTCTGGCTAAAACAATGGCTTTGTTGTGCACTGCTTGCAAAAAAAGTTCAAAAGAAACAAAAGTTCGCACTGGTGATGTAGGATTTGTATTTCTTTCGTCTCTCTGGGTTTTCTTTTGAAATGACTGCGCTATTTACCGTAAAACCAAATAAGCTTTCACTAAAATAGGAAGAGAGAAATTCTTGGTGAAAAACTTTTATAGATAAATTTTTTGCCATCAAGTTTTTTAGACACATAAAAGATCGATATTTTAAGCTTTCGTAGGGTCATTTTTATTTGTTGATGTAAGTATTTCGTTTAAATCTTTGTCTTACAAAACTCAACATTACAATTACAAAACTTTGTTACAAATTAGAACTGCCATTCCGGTTCGAATGTAAAGAATATTCTGCAGGATCGAAAAGAAGATGCAAATAAGCTACTTTTCATGATAAGCAAACAGTAATTCTGTATTGGTTATGAAAATGAGCCAAGAGTAGATAGTCCTGAAATTATTATGTCGGCATGATGTACTGCACCTTAATAACAACAAATTAATACCCGAATTTAAAACATGTATTTTTCGAATCGATTTCTTAACAGAAGTGGTGTTTATAGGGAGGAAGACAAACTTTTACCATTAGCTGATCGAATTGTTGCATCACTGAATAGAGCGGAACGATTAAGGTATGCTATCCATTTTGATGAAAATTTAGACAAAAATCCCATTTACAAAAATTTTTTACAATATGCAAAATATCAAATAAATATGGCGGGATTGCAGAAGGGACTTGATGAGACAGACTTGATTTAAAGAATTTTATAAAAGATAAATCACAAAAAGGAATAGTTTCAGATTTGGCTGAGACTAAAATAAAATATTCGGGATGCTCCAGATATAAGCCGATCGTTTATCAAATTGTATCGATATAAGTGATTTATCGATAGTATTCTGGTATTTGATGGTAAAAACAAGGGGTCACGTCATTCTATTGGAAAATATATTTTTAATAAAATTGTCACTCTGTTGTTAGATGCATACGTGTAGGGGGTGGACAAGTAAAATGATGAAACTGAAGTAGGGCAGAAGCGGACTGATGGTAATTGCTTTTTCAAAAAGCTATCGACGATTTTATGTCTCCATCAATTGACACTTTTGTCGTCTAAGTCCGACATTCAAATACAGCATTACTTTCCGTCACAAATATTAGAGAAGTTCAGAGAAGAGTATTTCTTCTCACTAAGCACAGTATGTTTGATCTTATTTTAAACTGTCCACTATTTACTGCCGTAATTCTCACTTCTGAGCCTAAAATTCAAAACTTCAAACTTTTCGAAAAATTTCTGCAGTTTTAGTCGCACGCACCAACATTTTCACTGCAAGTCGCATAAACTGTATTGTTTTATATGCAATTTAGCAGTATGCAAATAACTAACAAAACGTGAAAAAAAAATTTTGAAATATGAATTCAGAATGCCTGGAAAAATTTACTTATCCTTAGTGGAATTCACTGACCTAATCCTAGTTTTAAGACGGTTCATTTGAATGATTTATTAGAAAGTCTTCAATCAGCACCCGATAGTGCGATTAATCAGTTACTTGTACAGAATAAAGCAACTAAAACACATCATTTAATGGCAGTATAATCACGGAGAATAAGTATGTATATAGAAAAGACTAGATCCTAAAATCAGAAAACAAGCTTTGAGGACAGAGACGGTCCGAGCAAAAAAGACCGCACATCAATCGTATGGAATCACTAAATGTCTTCATAGGTGTTGAGAGCGGTGAGTCTTTCACAAGATCAACTTTCAACAAGCAGAAATATCGGAAAACTCTAACTCATAAAATATTTCAGCGTACTTTCAGCAATGCATATTAGTCAAGACCAGGCGTGTTTCAATCTACCTATGAATGATGTGGTCACATTTTGCTTAAAAATAGAAATTTCAAAATCTGAAAGCAAAAATAAACTTCGCCGAGAAATACATGCATGCATGTGTATGATCATGAAAGGTTTTCGATGATGTCATAATTGTGGCACAGTGTGATTCTGTTTCTTCATTAATGACCGATCCAAACTGGAAAAACAAATGGTTGAATAATGGGGTAATTGATTAATTAGTCCTTGTTTGATCTTTCTGTTGATCTTTTTTCATTTTCTTTTTTGCATTTTATAGATGTCACCTCACGATTTAGAAGTGACATTGGACGAAATTTGCGCCAGAAATTTCGACTTTCATCTTGTATTGGACGAAATTTCGTTCAATGCAAGATCTGAAATATTGACTTTCCAACCGGAGAATGGATTGAGAGGAAAGGATTGACCGGCACTATAAGCCTCTTTCAATCAAGGCTAATGCACGGCCTTGACCGACGTGGACTTATAGTACCATTATATGACGTGCTCATCGTTCAACCCAACTGTCCTGGCCCTTGTCATTTATTCATGCTTGATTATTTACATGGATAAAGTATTCAGTTGATTTGTGAGACATTTGCACAAGATTTGTGAGAAATCAAATGCAACATTACAAGATCAAAAACGCAGAAATTAAAGTCAGAAAAATTTGACCGACTTTTTTGTAATTTCATCATAAAATTCTGTTGGCATAAGCGTTAATGTGACTGTCACTGAGGCATCATCCAAGCATGACTTCATTGCTTTGTTCTGAAATGAAAACGGATAAAATTGGCGTAAATTGTCCAAAAAATCCGATGTTTTTTAAGAATAACTTACATACGAAATACTGAAGTAAGTATTTAAATCATACTGAAGAACAATACTGTAATTCTGCTTATATCTGAAGATAGTTCTGTATAAAATTTACAGCTCTTTTTTGGTGGTCTTTGCCGACGGGAAGAGGAATCAGAGATTAAAGTTCGTTTCCTATCATTAGATATGAAAAGAGGAAGATAGACTAAAACAGTTAAACAAATAATCTTGTGAATTGATCACTTAGTCTTCTTCAGCCAATGAAAACTTCTGTGTCTCAACTGAGTGATGAGTAAAACTGGATGAAGTCTTGGATGGAGTAACCTTAAAAGCCATAACATTTCGTCCATCCACTTCAATGATTCGCTGATTGATAAGCAATCCATTGCGACTAGCACTTGATTTTTGCATCACAGCTGTGATAAGATTATCTTTAAATGAGAATCCTAACAAGCCAGCTGCATCTTTATGTAACGTTATCGTCCTGGCCAATGGTCTAAAGACTATAGAAAAGACTTATAAAATTTTAAAGGAATATTCCGAGTTGCACAGCATTTCTTGAAAACCTTAGAAGATAAACCATATTATTTCCTATCAAAGTCATGAATTATTTTATTATAATAAAAGTGGTAACAATTATTCAAATAGGATTGTTCAATATCACTCCTCTAAATTCAGTATCGGTATCCACTGGGATTATTTGAAAGACTCTTCTGATGTTGATTAGGTCACCGAATATTTCCAATGCGTCATGTATTCATGCTTTGGTTAGTAAATCAAGCATAATTAATGATTGATTAAACTTTTGTTCCCTGTTAAAACTTTAGCAATTCCCTTTCTAATGTTTTGAAAATGGGGCTTTGTGACCAGTAGGTATATCTGTATCCTGTAATTAGTTATCATTTTTAACAGTGTGGGTAAATAGGTTATTGGGCCATCAGTCAGTATTTGCTTCCTACAAATAATGACCGTTATGGTCACTCAAGGTCCCTATGGCAACTATAACCTGTCGTCTTCTTCAGTATGAATCAGCCTTTTATATCCTACATATCCTTTCTACCCACGGTCATATTTCCACACTTCAACTTTAACTGTTTCTTCTATGTTTTTGCGCATTGTTCCTGCTATTTTGACTTATCTTCAAAGTAGTGAAGAGAAAAACTAGAGCTACCAAGCGCAGATCAGTCCAATCATTGGTCTACCAACAGTGTTGCTGAAAGAATTTTTTTAGTTATTAGGACTTGAGCAGGTAAATTCATCGCATATAGGCCCTCTTGTCTCCTGCTGATAGTATTCCTTAGATACAGGAATTACTAAACGAATTCCATCTGCTCCATCTTAAGCGGTGATCCAGACAAGACTTCATCGAAAGTGTACTCGATCATCGTTCTGCATTCGGTCTGATATTCTTATCAGAAGACCTCTTAGAATGACTATTCTTCAAAGTTATCACCACTATGGAAAGAAAACATACTGGAAGCAGAGAAGGGATGCGATTCTGTGTAATACTAACTAACATTGTCATTTATTTTATGGATTCCGAAAGAATTTCATTTTTTTAAATTTCTATTAACTATTTTTAAAGAGCGTTTCATTTCAAATGTCAATTAACCGTGTACCTATCTCTGAGCATAAGAACCACTTCATGTTTTGATTTCTTCATCATATCCATCACCTAAAAATACAAGATTTATCATAAGATATAATTGCTTTTTAGCATTGTTTAGATTTTAGGAAAACATATTTTGAAAAAAAGAAAATTGCGAAAAAATTTTTTTTAAAAATTCCAACTAACTTTTTGTCCGGTCATCCCAAGCACTTCAGTACCATTTAAATTAAGCAGCTGATCACCAAATCGGATACCGGCAGCTGCAGCTGGGGAACCTTCGGCTACTAATTGAATAAAAACACCCTAAAACACCGGAAAAATGATGATCTCTAAAAATTTGATATATATAATGCACTGGACCTCTTTGTACAGATTTCATTCCAGATACAGTAACTGAAATTTTATAAAAAAATATGAATTTGAATAGTTAACACCAAGAACTGAGCCCAAATCCGTAGTCCCATGGCTACTTTTCAACTGTATTTGGCCAGTACATATGTAACGGTTTCAGAACTCTTCGGAAAATATGGAAACTTAACCGATCAATATATGCCAAACTGTCATTCTGGTCAATTGGAAGCCTCTGCAACATAAGCCTTTTGATTTGGTACCATAAAAGTTCCTGAGGAAACAATAACGAGTGAACCGGATGACGATACCTGATTAACGGCTCGCATCTTCAGTCCATACTTTTTACCTTTGATGCGATTAAGGATCACTTTGCGAACACCATGAGTAAGATTTGCTTTAGCAAGACCAGAACATTGCGACGTTATCGGTGCGATAATGTATTCATTCTCTAATGAGGCCAACCTATTTGACATATATGGTTGGATTGCAACTGATTGCGGACAGGGAAGATGCACTGTCATTACTTCCGGTAATTGCGTAGACGGTTTCTGGAAGGAGTCAAAAAGTTTACCGGTTTTTCAAATCAAATTTTGACCCTTCCGAAAGAAATTTATCAGATTTAATATCCTAGAACTTCCAAAAACTAACTAACGGATAAAAAATTAACCATCAACAATCTCCAAAATCTTACGTAATTCCTCATCGAGAAAAATTCTTAATCTATCACTTATTACAAGTTGACATATGCGTTGAAAAAAATTTTCAAGTCTTACGAGCATAGAAATATGCTGTGGTTGGGCAACGCTTTCATGGTAAGATGGAAGTGATGGATATTCCAGCATTTCTTTTGGAGCTGCAATTTGCAAAAAACTATTCAAAATAAAATTTTAGATTTATTTACAAAAGTGTTTTTTGACTTTTCATCTTACAATAGATGAAGTCCGGCATATACTTCTAATGCGCCTTTCACGAATGAACTAATGTCTAGGAGTAATATAATAGTTGGACTGATAACAGATTTGTATCAATTTCTCTGAAATTGATACAAATCTATTTGTTTTTTCCATTCCTTCCCATGCAGGTTAAAGTGGAATAAAAAGTCGTTTCGTCTTTCAGTTTTAAATATTAAGAAACAGCAAAGATCATTCTTGGCTTAGGTTTCTTCATATAGAATAGGAAATATTTCTGGGAACAAAGCGTCTCTACGCCATCTTTCTGGTACCGTTTCCCTTTTCTTCCAGCACATTTTCAATTTCTCTTGAACATTAATAATTTTCACCAAGTTTCGTGGCAAATTATTCACTCTCAAAATGTGCAAATATTCTTATGACCAATGAAATATAAAAAGTGAACAGATATTGAGGTTTTTTGCATAACAGATGCAAATGACTTAATCATGCGAAAGTAACTCCAGTGAAGCAGTCATCCTCAATTAAATCAAATTACAAAATGCAACATCTTATGATAACTACCGCGCAATGTATTACCTTCATTTTATCACAATAAGTAAATCAAATCTTGCAGTATTTGGAGTTTTGGAGTGTATTATCTTCAGTTGAAAAAGTAATGCTTATCAATATTCAAGATTAAAAATTTATATAAACCTGTTGACAATGTGCTTTCATCGACTGCCTCGTAAATTCGTCCCTCTGAAACTCTAGTTCAGTGAATTTTAAATCAGAAATGAATTGATTTGAAATGATTTCATTTTTTGCTCAATTTCAAAGTGTCATTAACATGGAAAATCTATTTTAAACTTCTGCTTCAAAAGATCAAAATGTTTTTTCGCCTTTCTTATAAATAGGAAAGTGAATGAAACTAATCCTTAATTTTTGAGTTTTTTCTTCCGCAAAATTAAACTGACTTAACAGTATTTTGACATTTTAATCAGCCAGAAGACTGGTATCGATTGATTGAGGGATGAGTCAAGGAGCAATCCAAAGCAGTTGGAAATGAATAAATTAAAACAAAACAATTTGATCTCTTTCATGAATTTCATAATGAGAATACTTCATAATCAAATAAATATTTTACAGTGGTTTTTGTAAGTAATAATGAGAGAATGGTACGATCGCTCGTCCAAATCATCAGTATAATCCGACCACTCTGTTGAAATAAATGATTCGTAGCTCAAATTTAAATTTCACAACTCAAAACTGTTCGAGAGAATTGTAAGATACACTGAACTACTCACGGACGGAAGAATTTGATTCGTAGAGCGGAGCAGATGGTTCTGCGGTAGAACGAAATGGCGGAGAATCGTGACTTGAACAGCTGCCATATTGCTGTAAATTATATTACTCAAAATCAACATTTTGAAACAAAATTAAACAGAAATTGTGTGATTTCCTTGAATGAATGATTGGGTTAGCTGTTGGGTATCGGATATATTTGTTTAACCAATTTCACGAAAACTGTAAGATACATTGAACGAATGGAAGAATGTGATCGTAGAGAAATGGTTCTGTGCAAGAACGGAATGGCGAAAAATCGTGACCTGAACAGCTGTGCTCGCAGTTCAGGCTAGCGATCACGTGCTCTATGTTTTAGGAAAGTAGCGGTAACATTAATCGAGACAGTAAATTCTTGGCTGATATTATGTGTTTATAAATATGATTATCTATTTACTCATTTACTATCTCCATCAATTTCTTTAAAAAGCTTTTTGATGCTGCCGAAGATTTCAGCCAATCAAATTTTTAGTCAATACTTACAAAAAGAAAATCTAAGACTTTGTAACTGGTTATAACTTATTTGTTACGGAGTGACGGAATTCAAGGTCATTAATTTGAATGCCTTCGAGACACAGAAATTTTTTAAGGAAATACCCTAAATTACGGCGCAAACTGGTATCTACAGGATTTCTTCTAATTATAAATTAGAAGGAATTTTTCAGTTCTGGTTTTTTCTGAAAAATATTTCGAAAAAAAGAAAATTTTTAGATATTGCTATCATAGCACGGGGCATTATGAAAATAATCCGAACTGATCGAACATGTTCGATCCCTTGAACTCTTCCCACGATATCCATAAATTGGTAATTTGTCTAATCAATAATTGCCTTTTGATGAAGTGCCTTTTGATGAATCAATCATCAGTTCGAAGCCATCTAAATTTCAAGAATTTTGTGTTTTCAAATTTTTGAGGAGGAATTGAAAACATTGCCACCTGATATTGATATTGATCAACCAATAAATCCTCCAGGGTTGGATATAGTGGCATTTCCTAGAAGTACATTGAAATGTGATAAGTATTACTGGTTAAATATGCTGTCGAAATAATCCAGCACAGTTTACAAAATTTAGTGAGACTATAATGCAACGAGGAGAAAAGTTGAAGAGGGTTTTTCTCAAATTTCAGAAGAATAATTCAAGATCGTAAGGCTGATCAAAGAAATTTCGCCTTTCCTTTCCCATCAACTTGTAAATTCGAAAACACGATCGAATCTTACACTCATCAAACGATTTGGACTTGTGTGATCTGCTCAGTACCCACCTTCCTACTCTTCTTTTGTCAACACATCCAAAAGTGTGTAAACAATATACTTAATGCATTAAGGACGCATTTCCTATCAAAAATAAAAAAAATTACAAAATGAAAATTTCAAATTTCGACACATATAAAAAATTTTCAATATTTTTGGACAATAATATTTCATATTAATTCCAGAAGATTTTTCAAGCAGCATTTGTTCAAAAAGCATTAATAATTGGTGCAACAAAGTGAAACAAAATCGAGAACCCGGTCAATCCGATCGCTGAACAAACAATTGGAAGCAACTGTCAGGTCGGGTGGATGGCAGTAACACCTCGTAACGAGGTGATCGACTGGTCGACTGACTGCGCCAACCAGAGGGACGAATCTGATCGTGGACAGACAGAGAAATGGACAGAGAATTGGTAAGCAAGCGAAAGGACAAAGGATGTGGGTGAACAAATAACGGATGGGTGGATAGATGAACTGATGCGTTATGGTGTGACCAGTTCATTCTGACCAGGCATAGTTCACGCTTCATAAAGCTACATTTGGGATTGTGATTGCGAAGAAAAGCGTAAGAAAAGCCTCTCGAGAGAATTGAACTTAGTTTTTGTGTTCCTCAACGTCACAACTCATGGGACAAATCATTCAAGGGATAAATTATTACATTCTTCCATCTTTCATTTTCTGAAATAAATTTCTCAAAAAAAAAGCAACTGTGCACTACAGTTGACCCAAAGATTCTCTCTCATTAAGATATTTTATACATAGCTAAATTTGGTTCAATTCAAAATACTTTGAGGTTCGAATGAATCCACAATTATGAACATGAATAGGATTACAGTAGCTGAAGTTGATTTTCCCAGAAAATCGATATGAATTAAACTTTGTGAAGATCGATAGGGCAAACAACAAGTGCCGATGATTGTCAGCGGGCAAATAACTGGAAAATAATGTCTGCCATCTTGTAGCTTCAAATGACTACCAAATGAAAATGACGGTGACAACGTTGACAGTGCAATGCTCTACTCTTTACTGTGGAAAATGGCAATGCATCTACGAAAATCGAAGAAGTACTGTTTCAGTGAACCAATTATTACTGCTTTTAATGGTTTCACTTGTACAATGAAACTATTTCAGGCTCTTAAATTAGCTAAATAGGCAAGATATGACAATTTCATACCACTGTAGATATCAATAGTTACCGTTTCGTTTTCAAAAAGTTAATTGGGCAGACAACTGAAGGATTTCAAAATCAAACTGAAATTTTGAAAAAGCAGGAAATTCGGTTTTTTGAAGTTTTTTGAATCAAAAGAAGTCGTATCATGTGAATGATGGCAGTACAGTAGTTGGTTATCAGATGATTTTTAACGACATGTTTGTTGTATAAATCCATTGTCAAGGAACAGAGAATGAACCAACCTAGGTGTGATAATTAATAATCAGTTATAAAATAAGTTTTAGGTGATGAATGGGGCGCTCATAAAAGTGAGATGAGTGGAAAAATGGAACAGATTTTTTAATGAGAAATTATTGCCGCCTAGATTTCATCTAAATTTTTTCAATCCAATTAAATCTCTCGGACCACCACCAACGAACTGACTAGACAATTTAACGCCTTCCTCTCTTTGAGTTCACAGTCATCATTAATGGATAAGAAAATAATGGGACGTTTTATGAAATATTATTGTTATCAACTTCAAAGATGAAACCTTCAGGCCTTCCGTGCTTTGAAACTCTTCAGTTGTTTGCTTAATTTACTTTTTGAAAACGAAACGGTAAAGATACCTACAATGGTATGGAATTGTCATACCTTGCGTATTTAGCTAATTTAAGAGCCCTTGCGATAACAGACTTACTGAAATGTATATGGGATGTAACGCCAATTCACCTTCTAAAGATATCACAGTTCTGTATTGAAGGCGATAAATTAAGTAGCGTGTCAGTACTCCCAATAAAATATTCTGTGTTGGACTACCATATCAATCACTCCCAGCTTATACCAATTTTTTGCTGTCCTTGATAATACTGTTTAATGTAGTATTAGAATTCCATTCTCTCAAAATGTTAAATGTAGTATTGAAATTCCATTCTCAAGAAAATTTATTTCCAGCCAAGTTATGAATTCTCTGATCTTTAATGAAATTAAAATTATATTTAGCATAGAGCAGCATAAAGTGGAAAATTTCTTGTATTTTTGAAGTGTCTTATGTAACACGAAGTTGCAAACTTATCTTTATTTTCACCTTAAACTTGGGTAATTAAACCAATTAGATAAAATTAGCGTCACATAATCGAAAATTAACGCATATAGGTAATCTCGAAAACACCGCCACAAGATAAAACCAAAGACCGCAACAAAAAACAATGAATAATGAAGAATATTAACTTAATGTGTGAAGGATATATATATATAAATATATATATCTTTGTGAAGGGTATATACATATATTTTCTGACTAGTTATTATGTGGTTTCTATGCAAATTAGTATGTCACTGCAAATTTGCTTATAATTCTTTATTTTTCTTTCTCACGGGACTTTTTCATGTTTATTCGCGATATCCCCGACGGTGAAATAGTGTGACTTGAATTGACTTGATTCGTGTTGCTTTGTTGGTAAATCATACAGTTTATTTCGTAAATGTTTCGGATATGATCATTTTTGACAAAGTGGGATGAGAATTTCGACATTTGTTCGATTTGTTCTATTCTTTTCTTTTATCAAACATAATTTCCCATGTGGGAGAGAATATGCAAGACTTCTATTGGCCAGTTGATATTTTGTTTTATTTTCCACCATAAATAGTCAGGAAATACTATGCACAATAAGCGCAGGATAATGAAGCGCATCTTGTTTGTTTTCAATGCTGAAGAAGCACTGATCTTTTTCCTTGTTCAGCTCCTAATCATTATTCGCGTTCTGCTTGATTGATACGTCTTTCCTCTCTATCTTGACTTCTAATTTCCAGAAGGAACAATAAATTGATCGGCCCGATTAATTCGTGATTGTTGCCAAGATCATGATCATTATCCAAAATCATTAACCAAGATCATTACCCGGTGCTTCCAGTGATTTCTGAACTTCCGGTGACAACTGTTTTGTCAGAACAGGTAGAGGAATTGAATTTTATGAAAGTTTTCGTTTGAATGTGTTGAATAGCACGAAAAAAAGTTTATTCGGTAGTAGAAGAATAACAATTATAATACAATGTTATTTGGAGTGAAATTATGAGAATTGATAGTTACAGTTTATTTAAATTGTCAGTCAAAGGTCGAGTCATACGAGGCGAAGCAGGCGCTGAGTATAGTCTTCGACAGAGAAGAGTTAATCTTGAATGATCGAGTTAATGAATGATCTAGAATGAATCAGAATCCGGCTATTGGGGATTTTTATATTGCTCCCAAGTGGGCTGGGCTTAAGATAAGATAATAACTCCATTTTCACTGATACAAGAGATGCTTACATAGAAGATTAGATTTCTTTGTAAAAAGAGAAAATCGCCATAAATCATCTCACATCAAAGGAAAAGATATTTTTACTTATTGACCTTATACAACAAATTGACCTTTAGCAAAGGAGAAAATATTTACTGACTGACCTTATACAAAGAATTGTTTTTACAACAAATTCTTTAGCTGTTTGGACGTATTACCATTTCTTTTGGCTTTCCCGATACTCAATATTAACTGAATTAATTGAATACATTAACTGAATTAATTGAATACTAATTGAATAAAGTTACGTGAAGACTTCCAGAATCAATTAATTGATTCTGGAAGTCTTCATGTAACTTTTCAATTTCATTTCGCATTTCATTTATTTTCTTTAATGCGGTAACTTCTTCAGTTAATTTCGTTAGAGCATCGCCAGTTGAATTATCCTAGTATCTTCTAGGGTTCACCTCAATGTCTTTTTAGCGGTAGCGTTACGTAGACCATTTCACCTGATAAGGCTTTTTATGCATCCTTGTCAGATTCCCGTTTCTGATCCATTGTTTGAGTGATAGTGGTAAAGCACTTTGTCACTTCCACCTTTTTGAGGTCTTTTGTTCAGTGCAGAATTGTGTTGATCCTTACAATGGAAGCATACTTTTTTGTAGTTGCGTTTCCTACTATGTTTTTTCAAATGTTCTACATATGAAGTTTTCGAGCTCCGACAAGTCTTTGATATACTTTTCTGCATTCACTGCACTCATCATTCCAATGATCTTCTGAACAAAAAACGCAAAGTCTCTTAGCAGAGCTTTTCATAGCAGCAAACACGGCCGAAGTTTGGTGTCGTTCTCGACTTTGTTTTCTTCACTTAATTTTGTTCCTTTCTTGTGTAAGTCTAATCCATTCTTCTCATCTCTAGTTATATTTGATTCGCAGCTTCGTTTCGTATTATCGTTTTTAATTCTTCCTTCAGTTTTGTTACAGCTCCATGAATCTTTTTCTCGATTTTGGTGGATTCCCTGCAAAACCGATGGTGGCAGTTTCGACTCAATTTCTATTTCAATTTCTGAATACTCCAAATCCCCTTATCACCGGATAATTTTTAGGACTAATAGCATGTCCAGAAATAGCTGCCATAGCTCTTCCAGTCAAACATCCAATGAGATAAGACAAATTTTGTATTGCAGGAATGCTTTGATTATCCACAGTAACTTGAAAATTAGCGCAGAAAGCAGACAGGCCACTTATAAGTTCGACAAAGAATTTTTCAATTCTAGTTTAGTGTGCCGAACTTCATTGGATGCAGAGTGTGAAACAAGAGTAGTAGAAGTCCGTATCGGGAAAGCTAATCTGTTGAAATCGTTTTTTAGCGATATAGATTTATTCGGGATGGAATATTGTTCTTCACAATATTACTAGTTAACAACAAAAAGGGTATAAAGTATATATGTATATAACACGATGAATTGGTAAACAGTGATGAGTTATACAAAAGCAAGCAATATGATCAACTAACAAATTCCTTGTCAATGCATTTCTGTAATACTGCTGTCGATTCGTTGATAAGTCGTTGAGTTGGGGATATGTTATGGGAAATGTTTAGCAAATAGTAAGAATATCGGATGTTTATTGTCCAGTGCTGGCATATCTGGGAAGATGTCGTTGCAGTTCAGTCGTAAAGAATAAGCGTAGAGGATGCACCGCCTGCTCGACAGTAAAAACTCTAACAACTGCTTTTGGATTTTTCCATATATATATATAATGGGGAGGAGTTTGTAAGCTCTATCAATGCGGTAGATTTTTTCTGAATCGTGGAGTGCGATGTCGCTCAATAGCCAAATATCACCAGTGTTGTCGATCGGCTTCCGAAGATCCGCTGGGCTGATTTGAATTGGGTTGTGCTGTGTTGTATAGGGTTGAGTTGAGTTGGGTCAGGCTGAGCTGCGTCGAGTTGATTTGGGCTGCGAGAGGCTGAGCTGAATTGATTTGGGTTGTGTTGAGTGGAATTGAAGTGTATTGAGTCCATGCCGGATTGTAAAGCCTTTATTGACCATAATGAATTAGCCGATTTACAATAGGGTTTATATGCATTAGAGAATGGGAGTGGTTTAAATAAAACGTTAAGAAAGGATGTTCATTTAGATATAAAGGAAACTGTAAAGGTCCAGTCACATAATAAGCATTGTAACAAGAACAGAGGGAAGATTAGCATGCAAATTGGACATTCTTTGTCATTAAAATAAAGATGTGATTTCCGTTAGACAAAGATAATAAAAGAAACGTATGGGTGATAATTTTAAAGAATGTAAATTGGTTAAATGATTTACACTATTGTTAGCATTTACAAGAAATTTATTTGATTACTTATTTGTTTGTTTGGGGTATGATTGGAGTCTCGCGAATCGGAATTCGCGACAATCAGGGTTATCATGGAGGTATGGCTAGCCTTTGACATTGTCTATTGTGTAGATATTGAGACGTTTTGTTTTACACTGTCCATTGTTAGCTTATATCCTCTTCATTGTTTCAAATTTATTTACAATATTTCGTCACCCCGTTTGTCGGATATTGTGGAAGTTTTGTTTGAACGTAGCTTTAATTTCGGTAATCCGACAGAAAATTTGCATTATGATTTTCGGAGTTTTTCCGGCCCAGTCCGAACTCTCTTTTTCGTCAAAACGCAACAAAACGGTCTCCAACTGCTTCTTTTGCGTCTCCGGCATTGCTGACATGCTCTCTACCTTTTTCCATTACATTATTGAAGCTATGTTTATCAGCTATAGTGTGACCATATATTTGTTCTTCCTTTTTTTATTTATCATCAGGCAGTTTTTTAATTAGTTTCAGCCATTTCTGATTTATCACCTCCAAATTATTCACAGTAGAAATGATGGGTCGAGTTGAATACTGCAGTCGATAGAGGAATTTCTTGTAATAAATTCTTTTTATATTATTGGTAGAGTTCAGAGGACTCCACAATTTCCGGTACTTTCAATAATCGCTGCAGACGGCTTCTGATAGGAACTTCAAATTGACATACCGCAAATCCACGACTTCCGGTTGAGTTTCTTGATTCGTGGCACCATAAAGTGGGGAATTTTTTGTATTGAAATATCTTGAGCAACGTAATACAGAGTTGCTAATTTCTCTTTATTTCCATCTCAGACTGGGGTGATTAAACCAATTAGATAAAAAAAAAACAATATTAGCGCACGTAATCGGAAATTAACGCGTAAAAGTGTAAAAAAAACGTAAAAGGTAAAAATAAAGACGTAAAAGTCTAAAACTCCAAAATACCGTCACAAGTTAAATTCAAAGACCGCAACAAAAAGTAATAAAAAAAAGCAGTAAAGGCCGCAAAGATGTATGCTTAATTTGTTATCATTTTTGTTTGCTTTTTAAACTTCTGCATATCTTGTTCCTTATAGCAATTGTTACGGATGAGAATAAAAAAATACCAATAAATATCACGATGTCCTATTGCAAATCATTCGTTTTTTTGGAACAGTTGAATAACTGTTCCAAAAACGCAATATGGCTTGAAAGCTAACGCTAACATCTCATTGAGTGTCAAGTAGACTAGCATAGCATTTCCAATCGTTTAATCTACAATCAAACTTGAAATGTTTTTTCTGGACAACAAATTCTATAAAACGATCTCATTCACTCCACATCTATTTGAAACAAATGTCATTTGCAACATTTTGATTAGACCTCAAACATTATTTACACTTCCATCCAACAGCTTACTGTGTTGATTGTTTATTATCCTTTCAATTTGGCAAATTTACATCTGCTCGACAAGTGAAGAATCAGAGAAAGTGCGTCCACAGGTAAGATTGACTCACTGCTTTCGACAATCATCCTAGGAGAACAATTCTGATCCCATACGCGGGTAATGGAACTCTTTTATTCCTATAAGGTCATCTTAGAAAAGGATACTCTAATCTACAACGACTTATCTATCAGTTGTTATTAATTACCCGGAGGAGAACCATAATTGAACATAGTTGTAATCATACGGACTTGATTTTTTTTTATTTTTTTATCATCTCATTATTTTTTCTGTTTTTTTATTTTTATTTTTTCAAATGACATCATCCCTTTTTTGGCTGATGTCATTTGAACAAACTCGATGAGATTTCAGTAATGATTGCGCACCTGCAATTACTATCAAAGTTAAAGTGAGCAAGATTTCATTCTTCTCAGCATCTCTCCATTTTTTAATGGAACAGTTCAGATAATAAGCCTTGAATCCGAACCGTTATCCTCATAATCCTTGCTTATAAGTCATAAATGTTTCTCGTGAATGGTACAAAATAATGCAAACATCGGGAATCTGATATATGCGTTGAATTGAATGTGAAAAATTTCCTAACAGTTTCTGGCGCATAAATTTTTTTTAAAAAAAAATTAAAATTCGAAATTTAGCAAATCATGTTTGAATTTTGATAAATGGTAGGAGAGCTCGTTTCAGAACTGGTTGAATGTATCATCTAATACACTAGCAGCTTTCTCATGAATTAATTCACAACAAAACTGATTTCAAAAAAAATGAAAGCTACCCGTTCTACCCTCGTTTTCTTCTGAGGGCTTAACTATTTATACAGATAACTCAGTAGAATCGCTCATTATCTGTTCTTGGAAATTCAGAGAGAAATCAAGCATCAATTGTTCTCGAAACCGGTTGCTATATTTGTTCCATGGAAACTCCAATATTCGATATTACTCATCTTGATCAGTAATGATCAACCAGTCTCCCCTGAAATCTTATGTGATTTTTGTATTTTCCGCTATATCATCCTTCCCATAAAATGAAAAATGCACACAGCAAACGTTTTGGAGGGAAATTATTTTCTATACTGAACTGTTCATCACAGTTTTCTTAAACATCTTATTGATCATTCAACGATAACAACCTCACATAAACATTATATTTGTGAAATTCCACAAAACTCTCTATTTTCAACTTTTTCCCGAAATCTAAGGTATATATCAGAACAAATTCTGGTTGGAAATGTACTCAAAAGTTGCATTTAAATTCAGAACACTTTAAACGGGAATTAATAAGAAAATGCCTGCTAAAACAGTCAATAGCTCAATAATGATGACTAAGCAAAAGGAATTTTTGTAGGTAACTAAATGAAAACATACACTATGATCTCAACTTCAGAATCATTCCGTGTTATTAATATCTTCATTCCTAGTTACTAAAAATTAATAGAATAAGAACATGAAGTTCAACAGGAAATATTTCGCATTTAGGAAGATGAAGTAGAAACATGTGCGCTCCCACAATTCAAGACATTAATAGAGTAAGACTATTGATGCATTTATGCTATATAACTAGGTTCCAAACATCACCTGTATTTTGCATTATCAGTTTATTACTGCATATTATACAGAGATATGTGACATCAAAGGCAATTCAACCATTTTTAAACAAAGCCTTCGTCACTAAAATTATTAAAGAACAATTAGTAAATTAGGAACAAAAATCATTCCGTCTTTCAAAACAGAACAAGTAGCTCAAGGTAAGCAGGAACTAAAAAAACAAAAGGGCAAGAAAAAACACCTGAGAAAAGAAAAAACTAGACAATATAACGCAGTTCCATAATAAGTAATAACAGATGTAATCCAAGATTCAAAGGCAGTTTTATATTTTCATATATTACGTCTGTTTTATTTCATTAAAAATTGATGTATATGGTGCTGAAGAGCTGTGAATGTTACCTTACATTTAGAAAATGGTATCATAATTCTTGACTTTGATATAAGTGAAACGCCGAAATGTTTAGCCTGAACGACTTCTAACGATGAACTCAGCAATAGTTCCTAAAATGCTTGAAAAGCATTAACGAGCCGGGATTTTTTTTTTTCAATTTTGGAAAAACAGTGTAGTGTTCAAGGATGAAGTAAAACCACTTACCATTTTTGAACAGAATGTAAAACAAAGTTAAAAGCAAAAGACGAATTACTATATAATGTCATAAGTCAAAAGCGAAAGAGATTTTCAAATCTATTCTCTTGTTGTTTGTTAAGACAGAGCTAATACGAAGAACTGAAATAGGGAACATGAACATGTAAATAATAACAGAAATAGACTGAGCTTTTTATTAATCCATTACTGATCAAGATACGGAAAATGTAGAGATGAAAAAATGTATGCTTGAAAGGAAGAAAGTAGGTAAGGGTTTTGATTTTGGATTCCCTTTTGTAAAATCTATCAAACATAGATTCGTGGAAATAGGTCATAAATGAGGAATGACGATATCCAATTTATGAATGACATCTATAAAATTTATTCAAGAAGTACCAAATTTGATAAAATCAGCCACCAACAATATTGAATTAAAAAAATCAGTCAAACTGGATTTGTGGAGATAGATCATAGATGGGGAGTTACGACATAAAACCTACACTACTGGAAGCAAACAAAGAATCAAACGTCAAATTTTTTCGACAGCTCCGTACAGCAATAAATATTGAACCCCGTGCATGCTATTTGCTTGCCCATTGATGAATCCTTCGCTATATCTGGAATTTCAAAAAGAAAAAAAAATGTAATAATCATGAAATGATTCGAATAGTTTGGAATCCTTAAAAAATAAGTCTGAGAAATGTCCACAATGTCATACTTTTTGTTTCGATAAAATAATAAAAATAAACCACAGAGAAACTAAGAATGATACTTTAGCAGTTCATATTCCTAATTATATGGTGATATTGACTTCAATAAAACATGAGTTCCGCCTAAATATAACTTACCGGTCAAGTATATCATGGCGCATTTTCGATTCGCACTAGCAGTATGACTCAGACATTTCAGCAGTACATTCGCATCATACTTATTTTTGTCACATTCATGCGGTTTCATTGTTTGTATCACTTTTAGATTTTCATATTCCTTTATTATTTTTTCATAATGAGCATATCTTTCCACTACTTTCGAGTTAGAATTCGATGTGACACTTAAATGAAGATTCATGGTATCGAGTGTTTATTATCTTAAGCATTTAGTTTTACCTTACTTTTTAGCATTTTCATCCTAGTATTTTCCTCATTTGGGCAAAATAAAGTCTAAAGTCTCAAAATCTCGAAAATAAAGTATGATAAAATTTAAAAATTCAAGTCGGCATGTTTGCTAGCAACTAATAATAATAATGATGTCTGCAGTAATGAGCATTATATCATATTTTAACAACGTGTAAAATATGGCCGAAGTCACTGTCATGCTTTCCAGACATAGTAGTAGAGTACTTAGCAGAGCAATTACCAGCTAGAACTAGAAGCCGTATTATTGAAATCAAGTACAGTAAGAAAAGATGAATTTTGGTTATGATGTGTTTGATCTCATTATGATTCTAGAATCTGCAATACAAATCGATAAGAAAATAATAAAATACCATTATGAATCATAATGAAAAAATATCTTCATACTATCAATCTGCTGACGTACTGAAGAGAGGAACCTACCCATCCAAAGTCAAAGTCTGTCTGAGATGTGTATGCAGTTTGACCCACCACAAGTTGGAACCACTCTTCCTCCAATTTGAAAAACGTTCCAGGATCATTCGGAAGAACTTCGGATCTCTGCAAACATAATAAATTATGTAATCAATGTGCAATAAAATAATCAATTTAAAATGGATATAATCAAAATGTGAAAAAGCATGTTAAAAGTCTGAAGAAATATTTTTGGGAAACAACAACAAAAAAGCTTCTGCTACTAAAATAAAATACATACAAGGTCCCAACAGTAAGTTGAGCATCATCGATCATTAACACTCCTCGTCTTTGCAGGATTACTGAAGAACTACCACTCATTGTCTGAAGAAATATTTTTGGGAAACAATAGCAAAAAAATTGCTGTCATTACTCGTTGTTGTCGTATACATCAGCAGAAATAATCCGATCTCCCCCAAGTTTCTTCAAAAAGTTTATGGAAAATTTTCAAAAGATCTAGCAGAAAAATTCTAACACTTCGAGGATAGTATGGTTTTGGTTGGCGATGAACTGTTGGTTGATTGAAAAAACCATATATGCGTGGTTGCTCAAATCTGGCTGTATAGCTGCTGAAACGAAAAATGAAGCAACTCTCATAAATTTAACTGCATCACACGAACTACTACCTTATACATTTTTTGGGACGTTAAAAAACTTACGTTGAAGAAATATTACGATATTGAAAGGACCCCGCGAACGGAACAGGAGTAAATGAAGAAAAAGGATGAATGCGAAATTGTCCAGCACATTCATTTGTAAAGCTAGGTTGCACTGAAGTTGAAGGTCGAATTGTCGATGAAATCATGCGATGGTCGGTATCGCCATTAGAGAATACGATCGGTGCTTGCATAACAGGTGTTACGTGATGCGTGGTTGATGCTATTATCTACAAAGAACCTTTTTAGGTTTCTGCTATGAGAAACATTAGATCTCATTTCTTTCTAGCAATCATAATCCTTCTCTCCTCCTCCAAAGATTTGGAATGAAGAAACAAATTTCCTGACTAGTTGATTTTTTTCCTCTCTAACAGTCAATTCATTTTATTTCTTTATTCCAAATCATCTTATTTGATTACCGTATTCCTTTTGAATTTTATTTTGCAAAGCTAAGTAAAAATAGCCTGCAATTTTAAAAAATTTGACTAATAATGAATTAGACCACCGTTACTTCAGCGGTAGTTTGCCAAATAGCACTGAACAATTATCGCTCAAGTAAGAATTTCAATCTCAAACCACTACATACAAATCACTACAAGTAAGAATTTCAATCTCAAATCACTACATTATCCCTTCTCTATCTTAACAGTTCTTTGCATCATAAAATGATGATTGTATTACCTTTATTCCACACTGAGAAGTTAAAGAACTATAAAGCTCTAACCGTACAAATGAAACAAAAACAATAGTTGAGTATATCAACAACTTCTGCTTCCTTACCAATGTTTTGATAAGTCCTAAAATTATATCGAGTTCCAGAAAATAAAAAGTCATACATCACGGGAAGTGTCTGGAACAGAACTGACTGTATGAATGGTACGCATGTCCACATCACCACTACCTACTAGTTTATTGCTTGTTTTCCAAAATGACAAATCTCGATCATCGACCTTTGAGTTCGCAAGAACATCCCATCGCAATTGTTGTGGAGGAAGGTTTAATAACGAATCCAACTTAAAAGTAAAAAATAATCTTCACACACCCTAGAAAGCATCACTCCTTGTAAATATAAAACGACTTACTACACAGGGTTTTTATCCATAAGTAAAATAACAGCTTTTAAAAATAATATTTTTTGTTAGCGAAAACTGACCTTTTCATTTTCAGTCGGATTTCTTTGAGTCGAATTGCATGGAAATGAAACTAGTTCGGGAAGAATGTAACTAAAAATTTCATGTTCAGTGTTTCAGGAAACCGTAATTACATAGACATAGTTCATTAAAATGACGATTGTGTCACTTTTATTCCATGCTAAGAAGTGAATCTTTGGAGCTTAATTTTTCTCAATCATATGATTACAGAAATCTAAAATCAGTGTTTAAAAGAGGAAAGCAAAGAATGTTAATCACAGAATCGATTTTAATGGGAAAAGGATTTTTATTATGCGTTTTTTTTTTCTTTTGCTCAAGGTGACAACATTTTCAGATAAGGTAAAGAAGTAAAGGGAATCAAAACAATTACGGAAAATGAAAAATAAATAATCTATGAGTCAAATATTGATTCCAGATAGATACAATGTGCAACTTGCTGTATAAATTCATCACAGCAATGACAGATAAGGATAAAAACCTCGAAATGTTGGAAATTTTTAGTGGTATATAAATAAAACAATCCATAAACTGAAACATTCTTACGTGGGTTGATCATTAATAATGAGATTCCCATTAATTTGAGAAGCTGATGACGAGTGAGATTCCTCGAAATCAATTTTACTCGCTTGCTTTTTACCAGTCTAAACCATCAGATACAGTATGTAGAAATTTCAAAAATTTAACTGATAATAATGAAGAAAACAGCTACAAATGTTTATGATTTGAACACAATGACGCATGAAATGAAAACTGACATTCTCTACCAGCGGTTCAGAATTCTTTATTGCTTCCATTGATGCTAAAGCTGTAAACGGCGTAACTTCAGGAGGCTGAAAAATATTAAGTGTACTCATTATGAATAGTTAACTGGGTTAATAGATGCATAGTTTGATGATATTAAACAAAATTAAATCATTTTTAGTGGCTCTAACATTCTGATTTATATAAAGAATGGATTTCTTAATGACAAATGATGTAAAAATATAGAAGATAAACCACTACGGTATCTAAGAGTAAAAATTCCATACGACGTAGTCGAACTGCTTCATTTTTCTGCTATTTTTTTTTTTTTACCAGACAAATCGCAATCTCTAAAACAATGAGAACTGGAAGCACCCTATACTGCCGAGCGGGCGTTTGAAATGAAGCATCAGTAGCCGATCTCATATCACAATCGGAAATAATCTTTGGCGCAGTAGCAACGAAAACACCAGGTTCATGTGGAGGGCTAGCAGGTGATTCCGTACTATCCAATTCGCTAAAAAGTATAAGAGAGACTTGGAAAACTCAAAATAAAGTGGAAAAAAGTTGCAGTCTCTTCGGCATTTCTCTCATAAAAAAATCAAGCATTCAGAAAATTTTTCACAGAATTTAATGCGAATGGCAACCCATATTGCTTTGAAGTGAGATCAATTAAAAAACACCACAATCACGAATGACTTCAGAACAGAAACATACCTCTGATTTGCCAAAAAACTCCCGACAAACGCCGTACCGTCATTATCCTGAAAGTTTTAAATTATTTTTCATCGAAAATATATCCTAGTTAGCGCTTCAACTATTTCCTTCATGAAATTTCTGGGAAAGATTTTAAAACACGTTCGATTTCATTCCTTAAGAATTAAAATCATGCTCAATTCTGATGTTTCATGTCTTAACTACCTGTGTAATTTATTCAAGAAAGTATATAGTTACAATCGTTGAGAAATAATAAAAATGATGTTCTCAGCTTCAATGTTTCGATTCGAGGAAAGATGAACATACTCTAAGATTCGGAGAGCTGCTAGATGGAGAGTTCTGGGACTGTGAAACAGCTCTCGGTGACGATTCTCCACTAGATATCGCATCTGACGGTGAATAGCCACGAAAATCAGTTGCAGGTAAGTCAAGTGATGAAGGTACTGGCTGGAAAAAAAAATGGGTGAAACCTCTTCCACTCAATTATTTGATAAGATGCATGATTGAAACGTTTCATTTGAGCAAATGAATTTAATGTTAGTAGAACACACCTGTCAGATTCTGATATAATACATTCTATAATTTCCCAAAGTTTGAAATAAATTCAATGTTTTAAAAAAATGCCTACAAAAGCTCAAAAAGATGTTGCCTTTTTTTTAATATCCGAGTGTTCATGCAAAGAGCTCCAATCTGAAATCTTTCGTCCTACGACTGAACATGATGGAATTGGCAAATCCTGACTGCTAATGAGACGTTTCCTGGGATCTCTACTGACAAACACCTTTTCACATCGAGGATTAGAAGAAAGCAACCGTTTATCTTTTAAAACTGCTTCATCAATTGAATGCGGTGAATTTGGCTTTAATTTTGAGCTTGAAACTGATATTGGCTGAAAAACTAGACGAAAATACGAAAATTTATGTATTCTTATTTTTCAGCCAAACGTTTTTAAATGAATTTTATAAATTTGTAAATTATTAACCATGTCCACTCGGAAATGAATAAACAGCTGTGTTTTCAGCAGATGACACCATGAAATTCTAGCTCATAATTAACAAAATGAAACGGGGAGTTCAAATAAATTAAGGTGAAATACATGTGGAAAGATGACAAAATCAATGAAATTTTATATAAACATACATGTTCTTTTAAGGGTTTTTCCAATCCAGATCTTGTGTTCATATGTTCAACACGCCATCCCTTCTTCTCGTCATCATCGTCACTGTCTGCTATATCCATATCGACCGCTTCTCCAATGTATAAGCAATATAGATCATTTTTTCCCTGCTCTTGACACATCAATTCTTGCAAGTCAGAAAAAGATCCTATACCCTTCTATAGCTATTCATGCTTCTAGGTAACATAAAAATTACCGGAACATGCATTCGATATTTCTCCCTGAATTCTTAATTTATTAGAATTTTCTTCGGAAAGAGAAGTTTTCCCAGCCACATTTCGTACCAGTTCTTGAACATGAACATCCAATCCATCGATACGTTCTTGAAGTAACAGTGGCCTCATAAATTCGTCGCTGCAAAAACACTGCCCGTTAGATTAGGGCAATATTTCTTTTCACACATATATAGCATAGTCGAAGTTAATTTTCTTTATAAAAAAGTAGAAAATAAATAAGAAGGAAAAAAAGAAGTAATAAAAGCTTTAACATCAACAATGAACATTTTCAAATTAGATCTTTGACAGTTAAAATTCACAATTTGAATAAAAAAATCACTGACTTCTCCTCCGTCGACATCGCTTCAAATGCACCGTTTATTAATGAACAGTTCAAATCAGACGTTAAATACAAACAATGAAAAATATTGCCAGCTGTCTTAGGAAGCATTAGCAAATCACTAAATGATCCGTTTGGCAGAAGTATGGAGATCCCAATAGATGGAAAGATCGTTATGCCAGCCTGAAAGAAAGCCATACTAAGTAGTGTAGGCCCAAACAAATGTCAAAAAGAAACATTTTCAAGCTAATTATTCAAATCTTAATTCTAAAAGGCCGAAATCAATCATTCAGTGATGTAGGGAAGAATTAAACTTGTATCGTTCAATGTTAATAATCAATGTCAAATAAACATAAAACTTCAACTTCTAACATCAAACTATCCCAAATATAAGCTGACTTATCAGAATGGCTCATTTATAACAGATCATTTTGATAAGTAACATTGGCGAACTCGTTTTCGATCCTATTAACCGATATGGAAATAAGAAGAAACACGAAATACTTACCGCTTGTTTTATTCTCATAGATTCGTGCAACAAAACAAAATCATGAGAATCATCTTCAGAAAATAATGTAAAATAGTAAACCAAACGTTGAGAATCGATCAAAAGCACCTAAAAAGACTTACTTAATTTCAGAATTACCACTTTCCTCTGCAAAATTTGAACTGAATTTCCTAGCCTCTTTTTTTAAAGCGATTTCTCCAAGAGCTGGTGGTTTCAGCAGTTCAAGAACCGGCGGAAAAGCCAAGCACGCAGTCCAGTGAATGAGATCGGTAATTTCGAAAGTGTCTCTAAACGACGAAAATGTGTTCATACAGATTTCATCGAACGAATACATGAAAACAACTAATTTCAGTCAAAAGTATTCTTCTCTGGAAGCATTTCATGGATTATAATGTAACACATGGAGCTAATTTCTTTAAATCATCTGAGAGAAATGTAAACTCACAGTAATGGTGGTTTAGTCGCTGCTGCTAATGAACAAAGCGAGACACGATTGTAACGCCTACTTCCAATCAACAAATTACCACTCCAAACAACCGAGTCCGTTCCTTTGAAAGATAAAACGCTGCAATTCATGAAAATGAATTGTACAGATCTTTTTCTACTAGTATTTACAGATCAACAGTTACATCCCAGTCGGTTCAATTCCCCTTTAAAATACGTAAACAACTGAGAAAATACCTGAAAAGTTGCTTGTATTTGCACATTTCTGAATAAAACACATTGTTTTGATCCCCCTCGTGCTAATCCCGCAATGTAATTATATTAGAAACATAGAAAAAAGAAAGAATTAATTAGTCAGTCAAAAACTGAATGAAGAGAATTACGTATTCGGAGAGAATTCTACATCATATATGGCAAAAGGTAAAACATTAGCTGGCGATTTGGAATATCCAGTTTCTTTCTCTTCGAATAAAAAAATCTGAAAAAAAGAAATCTATGCTGAAGTACACAGTTAAGCAAAACTTCTAAATTAAAGAGAACCAATTTTAGAGAAGGTAGTCGGTCTTTCTCTTGAAAATAAGAAAAGGACTGAAACTTTAACAGAACCTGATCACATCGATAATTATCATGTCGCGATAATTTACAATCCACTGGTTGCATAGCTGAATGTGAATGACATCCTCGCTTAGGCAACAGATGGTAAGACCCTAGACTAACAATATTGCATTTGCCTTTCAAGACCTAAAACTGTCATGATGTGATAATTTATAATTTTCAGGTTATGCAGTTGCATGTGAATAACATCCTTGTTTAGGGACTAAATGGTAAGATTAATGCCTTGCCAGTCTTTGAAAATATGTGTAATGATAAGAACAAAGAGAGCCAAGATTTAGTCGGAATAGTAGCACTTACCTTGCAAGCTAAAATCTTCAACTTGGTTCGTCCAAGAAAAGGTGCCGGTGTAACTAAATCAGGGTGTCCCGACAAGTAAACACCTAAAAAAATCATGTGATACAAGTAAAACGTGGAGCAGAAAACTGAGAATGAAAGTAGTGGTACCAGTATTTTAATCGATGTAAAATATTATATTACAAGTTCCCATAAACAGGTACTGCTTCTAACAACATCTATATATTTATTCCTCATCGATTTGCTTTTACAGTTAAGGACAATAAATTTAGCCAGAAGGAACTGTAAGAAAACTAAGAATCGCCTATTTCCATCATTATGTCATGAATTTTAAGAACAAACCGTATGATGGTTCACCCAAATCTCCCACGAAGTTATTATTAACAGACAGGCCCCACTGTGCTATTAGTTCCATCTGAAAAGTTTGGAAACTTAGATATTCTCGAAAAATTCTCAAGAAACTTATTACTAAAGCGAGAGTTTCGATTTTGACCAACTGGATAATTAATAAAATAGTTGACACAATGTTTTGTTATTGAAAAAAATGAATGATGTGGAAAAGAAATACTATGCCGTTTAATTTGTTAAAAAACTAGTCCTTCACAATTTCGAAAGAAGAAAATGAAGAAAAGGTACATTTCTACATTAACAATACAAGATAGCCTCTGCCATATGATCCAGTTAAATTTCCAAAAAGCAAAAAGTAAGAAAGGAAAATTTCAGCGATTAATTTTTGTAGGCGACCAAGTATGAAAACAACTGAATAAAAGTTCTATAACTTACTTCTCGCAAATTATTCGAGAGGAGAGTATATCCAAACGACACATCAGCAGGCAACCGCTGAGACTCTAGTGACCGTCGGAAATTGGAGAACTAAAAAGTAACAAAACTACATTTCTCATAAACTTCGCAATACGACTATTATATTTTTTTCCCTATTAATTTTCTTGCATATATGAAGAATTCAGATCGTTAAAAAAACTTATTCAGATCGCACTTCTTTAATGCAACGTATGTGAGATTTTTTCAAACTGAACGTAATTTTGCTGAACTTAACTTACACATTTTTAAAAAATAAATATTCAAACTGAAATAAGACTAAAATATAAATCTGTTCGAAATCTCGCTTTTCTAATTAATCAAAAAAAATTATCACCCGTTTCTCCAGTTGTTTATTACTTATAATTCTGCATCGGACAATTCTGATCGATTCTCGGTCCTGACAGCTGCTTGAGAGATGTGATAAAATCATTTGCTGATATATATTTCGAAATGGTTCACTATTAAGTGCTACATCATTTACGTAATGCTGCGATATACCTTCAAGTGCATAAATAGATTATAAGTAATAAAATCTTAGCAAGAATTCAAGAAAATTTACCAATTTAATGTTGAAAAAAAAAAGCCTACTTTCACTCCAATATAAACCATAGTTCACTGCAGAACATTTATAGGTCATTCCTATTTAGATAAAAAATATCATCATTTGCTTCATCAGTTAATCATACAAAAGTATGTTTTATCTGATTTCCATTTAGTCGAACTTCACTGTTTTGAGATAAATCTAAATTCCATTAAAGCAGAATTTTTTCGAGTACATTGTTTCGTAATAACAAGTTCACAAGGATGTCAAATTCATAATTAAGTCTTCCCAAATGACTGACTGTAAGCTGATAAGGACAAATAGAACATACTTGTCTGACTTAACGATTTTCGAGGAATAGAAAAATCATTTCGTTGCATTGCTCCCAAAGCAAAAGCGATAAGACTACAGATCTAAAAATTTCATTGACAGTAATATCGTATTGTTCACAAACGAATTGTGAGCTCTCATTTTCAAACGAAAGAGCATTTTACTTCTGCACCCAACTACCACCTTAAATTCGCATTTCTTAAACCAAAAACAGACTACCTTGTCAAAATGAATCAAAGGCTTTTGTCAAAGGCTTCTCCATTACCCCTCGCTGTCATTTTTCTCTCTACAGCCAGTGATCATCAAGTGATTAAAATTTTGACGGTTTTGTCATGCAAATGACGGGAATGGTCACATAATTTCTTTTGAAACTAATTACATTAACAGAATCCTTCTCACAAGTGATACGTAAAAACCTTACTGTGACCTTATTCATTTAAAATCAGACAGGCTTGAGGATTATTCACATATGAAGCCTTGCTCACATCCTTCTTTTGGAAACTTTAAGTGTTTTGCATTACTTGCACGACAATTCCACATCTCCTTACTCCGAACTATTATTCATCCCTAATACCATTACTCTCACCTTCCTTCCGAACGCTATCTGTTTGAGTGAAATATTAAACAAAGGTGACAAATGCAAATAGCCAAGCATCCACCACAACTGCTACGTAACCAATCCACCCGCCTTGAAACGCCACCGTCTCTATCTCTGATGGTCAATTGTGCAAGGAAGCTATCACCTCCAGTGCATGGCTAACACCATTTTAAAGATATGAATAACGAGTAGATCTAGCAGAAGGTATTTCTGATCAATCAGCCATTCCATGTTCACTATTTCTTATCATTATGAAATTTGTAGAAGTTTACTTTAAAATGTTTCGGAGTTCGCTTTTTATGTAACATGGAAATTTTATATGCAAGAAAAGGAAGAATGCCACCACCTATCACTTCTTTCCTTCTCAGGTAAAATTATGCTTGTGAATCTTACTTGCAAGTCACGCATCTTTTACACTACTTCCTCGTCAATCATTTTAAATAAGTGAATTTTGTTTCGACGAAATCATAGCTTTCACCTAAGAACCATATATTTCAAAATGCGATAAAATACAGCAGAGGGAAAAATCTCTGTATTTAACGAATAAGTAAACAATGCAATTCTGCTATCCAAAGTGCGGTATATTTCTATTAATTTCTGGGACAGCTATGAGTCCAAAGTTTTCCCAAACCATTTCATTTTCGTAAAGAACAAGCTCCTGGGAATGGATCTACAATTTGTTGTTTAAATAAATCCCATGTTAACGACATTTGACAACAAGATGAAGTGAAAAACATAGCAAAAAACACAAACTGATAGAAATATCTGATAATGAGGTGCAAATGCATTAAAAAGCGTCAATTAACTTAATGAAAAGAAAGTCTCAGCAATATCAAACTTGATTAAATTTATCCCATATTCTCAAAAGCTAACAAATATTATGCCACCTAACCTAATCTTACGAAGTTTAGTTTTTGCAATAAATTCGTAAAAGCTAAGTAACATCCCCAACATAATTGCCAACTAATATAAAAGAGTAACATTAAGTTAAAAAAAATTTGAGGAAAGAAAAAATCATAAATATCAACAATTAATTTCAATTTTCGCAATTTCGTGACAACTTGTGCGAACAAATTTCTGGAATTCATCAAAGCAATTTGGCACAATTTTCTGAATTCAAGAAATACAAATCAAACTGCTGACGAGCAAGTTAATCCACAGTGCCATATAAAAATGTACCGCAAATCGTACCCATTATTGCGGACGTTTGAAATGAGCAAAAACAAAAGTGTAAACAATCCTAGACATTCGTAGCGACATTTTCATAGTACCAAATTATTCAAATAGTGGCGCATTTTGCAAAAAAAGTGATTATTTGAAAGAGCAGTATTTTAAGTTATTGCATTTATACAAATGGTAAAGTACATACATGATATATCGAGATCATCACTTAGAAAGCTTCTGTCATTCAATGAGTGCAACTGAAAATTCACTTTTTTTCTGAATTATCTTGCATAAACTTTTTCATATTTCTAATCATCAAAAAAGCTTATTCAGTTCAAGACTAGTTAAAATAGTGTAAATATGTTGTTTCGGGTGGTAGTGAATATCAGAGGTACACACTGAATGTTCCAATTTCGATATTTTTAAAAACTTTTTATATTTTGCTATTTTTCCCGAAATTTTTTCAGATTTTCAAAAACTAAATCAAATTGGAAACTGTTACATACACACATATACACACATGAACTAAACATTTTTGATTAGTCGTGTGTCATGAATGATGATATAGAAGCTTATTTGCGAACAATACAACATGAATTTCGACATCCAAACTTGATAATGAGAGAAACAAAAAACACAAAGCACATTCCATAGCAGCCAGCAATCTTTTCTCCTGAACATGTAAGGACAAACTTCGCCACAGGTCTTAGAGATTTATATCACTCAAACAGTAGCACCATTAAAACCCTGAAATAATGAAAAGAGTTAAATTCAATTAAATAAAAATAGAGCTAATCCTATTTATTTTTCGACTAATAGGAGCATAAAGATAGAGCCACAATCACTTTATATCACTAAATAAATTTTACCTTATTTTCGTTATTGGTCCATGTTGATTTACTTCTTCAAAAACAAAATTTTCACCCACCGTTTACCGAGTATTAACATAATTGCACCAGAAAAATCAACAACAATAACAAAATATCGAACGAGTTGGACAACATTACTTACCGAATCAAGTAAACTTCGACTATCTTGCTCCGTTTCCACGCTCACGGGAGCAACAGGGTTTGCTTCAGCGAGTGAACACCTTTTAGGTTGAGTTAATACTGTCTCTCCATCGTCTACACTCCTCTCCGCTGATCTTTTTCTTCCGTTATTCTTTCGCTTAAATTTAACAGAAATGAATTCAATTTCAGGAGCAGAATTTAAAGCCACTACTGTTATTAGATATTTGTAAATATAACTCTAGTAATTTCAATTATTTTACTCTTACCCGGTTCGTTTCATCAGTATTTGTCGGAAGTTGCAGTTCATTATCTCGGTTATCACCCATGAGAAGTTGCGCAATAGGAATTTGGTTCTCCTCAGTTGCTGAACCTGAAAATTTTATTAAAATTTGAAAATATCAAATTGATAAAAACAAACAAACAATAATAGGACACACAGAAAAGTTTCATGCTAATAAAATAAGCAGAATTCGAGGTTACCTTCCATAGCTGAATGGCTGTGAAGGATCAATCTATTGGCACCACTCTGTAAGAAAAATAATTTCAGAAAATTTAATTAGTGTCTTCGCATAAAACGATATAGGCGTTAAAAAAGTGAAAATGACAAGAATTAATCCCAGGATCACAAGCCGATTACTCACCGATGGCTTCCTTTCCACCGGACTACATAAGCCAACAGAACTGTCACTGCAACCCGAAATGCTCGCCTCTGCTTTAGGAACTGTCTCTGTACAACCTGAGTCTGCAAATTTATTCCTATTGTTTGGAAAAGAATTTTCGGAATTTAAATGAAGAAAAACCAGATAACTAGCACATAACCAAAACATAGAAAAGTAGGTTTGTAAACTAATCCGTAGTAATCGAAAGAAAACGCACCGGCTGGCACTGAAACTGTTAATGACATTGCTAAATCATTCTGGACATTTTTACTGATTTCTGTTCCAGATAGCGATGTACAAGGTGATGCAGCCCCCTAAAATAACTAGCTTCAGAAAGCTTCCGCTGAATTGATCTATCTTACCCACAAAATATGTTGCAGCATAGTTGTCCCTCAACCATTTTAAATCTAATTCATATATATCATATTCTCATCTGATTTGAAAGATGAACATACCGACGAGTTACATGAAGTGATGCTTGATGTTTCACTTCTTGCCTTACTTTGTGATGGACCTATAGGCTGCTGGTTTTGAGAAGCTGCAATGCGTCTCCTCTTTGGTGCCTTCCTTCCTTTAGTTAGATCTTCCATTTTCAACCATTTTACAAGTTCTGCTTTACGAAGATAATGTGGTATTACCTGGAAATGGAATAGTTCAATAGTTTTGATTTCAAACAAGATGGTAAAACTTAAATATTCAACCTTCAAATTACTGCTCTTAAATTAAAAGAACCATCAACGGGAAAACCACCACATTTAACTCTTCTATAAATCTATATATATACAGATATATATATATAGGGAAAGAGAGAGAGGAAGAGAAAGGGAGAGAGAGAAAGAGAGAGAGAGAGGAGAAATACGTACACTCATTCCTTCCACATATATATTTTGAGTAGTAGCCATGCTGTTCAAAAGATCCATGAAACTTTGAACTTCGTGTTGAATGTCGATTTTCCTACTCACAGTTTTATTTAAATCTAATCCAATAAACCACAGTCGACATCGGGGATTCCTGAAATATATATGCATCAGATAATCAAAAATTAAATATTCTTTCCATTTATTCGATTACTAACTAAAGTTTTAAGTAAGAAGCTAATACGGAAGAGTACTTACTGAAGAGAAACTTGAACTGGAAGAGGATCATTTCGTGGCTGATAATATTTCGTATGTACATGACACACCCTGATACTTTCACGACGCTCCAAACTTGCAATCAAAAATCGGATTTTAGATTCAACTAGTCCACACCACACTAATTCATCTTGCTAAATATTTAAAAATCACTAGCATTTATGGGTTTTGAAAACATATTAAGATCAACATACCACTTCAAACAGTGACTCATTTGCCTTTTTATAGTTTAACGAAACTTTCCAACATTATTCATATGATTTCGGCTAAGAAGAGTTACAACTCACCTCTGTAGCCGACAAACAAAGAAGTGCTAGGAAATGTTTGTAACGACTGAAGAAATTAACTTCTTCAAACAGTGCTGACCATTCAGCTTTTCCTTTCATTATGTCGTTAATAGTAACAAGACCTTAAAAAATATTAATTTTGAAAACTGATTAGCAGAAGACTTCTGCATGTCGAAGCATGGTCACATGCAGTATTAACTGAGGGTAACATTAGTAACTAACACGGACATGACCCCATAGACATATGAATGCCAACATGACAAGAAAGTGCTATGAATAATAATGCGCAATGAAAAAATCAAATCAAACCAAACCTTCCTCGATCTCATTCATGATGATTTTTAGCGACGATTTCGTGACATTGAATGTTGAATTTTGCTGCGGGAAAGCTGGTGTCACGATTGGCATCAGGTGAAACCTGCGACTGGGACTTTCACTAGACAATGGACAAAAAATAAATATTCATTGTTAGGGGAAATAATGGCTTCTTCACCATTCCTCGTCTTAATGCTTACCCTTGTTAAATAAACAGCAAAAAAGTAATACGATAGATAATGCACATCATAAGTAGACAGACATAAAAACAAAAGGTTACCGATCACCACTTCTTGATCGCGGATCCCAAACAAGTTCTTGTAATGCTGGCATATCACGTGCGTGTGAAACTTCTGTTTCTTTAAGGACTACTGGATGTGGCCATTCCCTGGAACAAGCTTCAAAATAATCAAAAAGATCTTAATATGCGCCGTAATTTTATCTCAAGTAAATTTACAAAACCCTTTTACATCTATTAAACAAGAAGCGTGATATTGGCAAAAAGTTTCTTGTGCTCAAAATCCTAAAGAAAATTCTTTTTGTCCCGAAATTATTTGAACTAGTAACTGAAATATTTACCATTTTGTATACAACAAAAAAAATTTCTGTACAAGTCTTGCTGGTCCGGTGTTTGGATATAACTGGCATGTCCGAGCAACAAGTATCGCCCATGACACACCACCAAGATAGCCAAGCACATTAGAATATATGCCATGATCTGCAAAACATTAATTCTAATGAAACCATGAGATAAATGAATAATGAAAGTTTTAATTCAAAGTTTTTTTCCTTTTTTTTCTGAATCATCCTCCTCAATATTACAAAATGAAAAGAAAATAGCAACAGTTTTCTTGGAGACTTCAGCTTTTACTCGTGCAATGAATATTTTTGCTATTTATTGAAGTTTTCATGAATGAAAGCGCAAAAACTTAAGAGCTTTAATGAATGCTAAAACAACAAAAAGTAAGCAATCTGATTTACACGTGTCTAGAACAAAATGGAACGAAAAGGGATGTAAAGCACGACTTCAATATAAGTTATCCTCTCAACATCATAAGATGAAAATAGCAACAGTTATGAAACATACTTTTCGCCCAAAGTTTAATAGCTCGTAGTGCATATGTAAAATTTGATACATTGGGCACTAGGCGTAATATTTCATCAGCAACGCGACAGCCTGGAAAGGACGCTTGCTCAAGATGATGGCATACTTGGCAAACAATCATAATTTATTTTAACAAAGCTGATAGAATTTTCAGCAGTGTGTTTTCGTAGTTAATCAACTCACCATTTAACGAACGAACACTTTTCTCATCCAAATTCCTCAATATCGAGTCATCGTTCAACTGCTGATCTTCTGGAACTCTCGGCAGAGCAAGGCGAGCAAACAATATATCCATTTCAATACCATAATATTTTAATTTGATTACAGGCACGAAAGCTTCCTGCACTTGGCGTAATTCTGTCGTATTTGGATCCTGAAAGCTAGCGATGAAAATAGACTTTCAACCATAATTCTGTTAACAAGCAGTCATAATTTCCTGGAATTCCATTTTAACAAGCCACTGATAAAATTTGATTCTGCTTGTAAATCAACTAGTATTCAACAAACGAACACCTTCCTACTCCAAATTCCTCAGCATTCAGTCATCTAAATTATCGGGTGGCATGTGGTGGTAACTTTCGGAAATCGATTCACCTGGCTCTGCGTCTTATTCACTAAATCAAATATTTTTCAACTAAAGCAAATTACCTCAGCAAGCATTTCATAAAAACTTGTGAAGAAATCGTTACGATCCACATGTCTCGGTGCTACACAAAGTGAATCAATATCAGCACCTGAATCCAATTCTTATTAAAAAAGTCTCGGCGCCACATAAAGTGAATCAATATCAGCTCCTGGGTCCAATTCTTATTAAAAAAGTTGGGTTTTTCTTGAATATACATTTTCTTTTGAAAAAACTCGTTTCTACTGTCAAATCTACCATGCAGTAGAAAAAATAAAAAACAAACCTCTGGTGTGCACATTAAGTCGATATGATCCAAAAGTAAATAATTTCCCACCAACGCTTTGAACTTCAGAATCCGGCATTTGCTAAGAAATTTTTTTTTTTTTTCAAAAATCTGCAGTCGAAAAAAAACAAAACAGATCATTTAGTTGCTAATTACTAAGTGGAAATGCTAAACGATTTTTCCTAATAATCATGGATTAATCCTATTTAATCCCTTTTCTCTTATAATCGTGGATTCTTTTGCTAATAATCATTGATTAATCATGAAGACCTGAACATGAAGTGATAGTAAATATGTTGGAAAAAATAAAGTCAAAATGATGAAAAGCCTAACGAATATGTTGGAATTATATAATGGTAAATTCAAAAATGTAAAAGACGAACCCTTCTTTTGGATACAACTCGAACCCATTTTTTTACATATGCATTGATTTTACTAAGCACTTTAAGGCGTAAATTCATTTCCTCTTCTGTTTCGAAATAACCATTTGCTTGTAAATATTCATCCAGCTGAAAAATATAGCGAAAATATCACCAACTAATAGCGTGCAGTAAATTTATGATAACTACAAGAACTTTGCACAGCATTTTCAATTTTACAAAATGCACCAAGTCTAAGTCGCTTTTACTGCAAGTTGCAGATTCGAATTTACATCGCATATTGGAAGCAATACTCACTTTTGCTGACATGACAATATCAAATTCATCCGGTCCCGAAATCGAGATAGGTTGTGAGACGCCAAGATAAGTTGTCGTAAGTTTATTGTCCTTACCATTACTGTTGCCCCTGCCTGTTGTAGTAATCTGCTGCACTTCTTGAGGCATTTGTAATGATATACAACTGCTACTGCTTAAATTAAAAACAAAAATTACAACTGTTTTTCTTCCGAATCCGAAACATCTTTTAAGATAGTTAATGCTCCTCCACGGAATTTGAAAACGAATGAGGCAATCGTCTGTTACATTAAGAAATTTTTCTTGGGACTGAGAGTAACGTGTTCGGACTGACAATTTAATGCTGAACTTCATTCAATCAACAAACACCATGGTATGCAATGTCGATAGGAAATCCAAGGCAGCAGAATGGAGCTTATCTATTGTAACTTAACCTGATTTGGAAACATCCTTCAAGCTACATTTCCACCAAATTTGAATCTGGTCCTTGTCAATAAGAATAAAGTCCAAGCATTATAGAGGAACCTTAATTTGACATCCCTAACCTCTAACCCTCAAATGCCACCCATACCGCGGTGGATAGCATCAGTGTCATGCAACGTTTAGATTCGGCCAATTTCGGCATCGCTGTGAAAACGCATCTCCTAGCTTCATAAAATACTTCCCGAAAAATTGGAAGGGGAAGAAACAAATGGGTGCCTTCAGTTATGATATGTCAGTTATTGGAACTACTACAACAAATAAATAGAAAGAATAAATGAAATTCGATGCACCCGAGAAGTCGTAGAAAAACGGTAGAATGGAAAAAATAAATTGGAAAAAATCTATAATGAGCTTTTGGATGATAGCAGTATTATCCTTACTTACCTTCCTACTGGGGATGAGCATTCGGAACTATTCGTTCCTGTAAGCGATGAAGTTGTAGGTAACAGATTGGATGGCACATCGGACAATAATGAGGTGTTCGTGGGATTATTTGCTAACGATAAATTTGGAATTCTTTCGTTTTTCATCTTTACATTGAACTTATTTTGGCGTTTTACAGATTCATCACTGTACAGATTTTCTGGATTGATATCACTGGAAATTCCTGTCGAATTTGACACATGATTTATTATGCTCGCGATATGAAGAGGGAAGAGAGTAGATTGACCAGCGACCCATCGATATCGTGAAGAAAGACGAAGTCTCCCAGGTGGTGGAATGTTGTAATTCATCTAAAAATTATACAGTGAAAAAGATACGTAAGAATGCAGAAAAAGTTTGACCACAGCATATATAAAAATGACATATTATCTTTTAGACACAGATTTCTAAACTAAAAAATAAACTTTAAACCTATAAATTGTTGGAGGATAAAAAGTTCCATAAAGTGTGAAAGAGATGATGAAATTCTATCTGTGAGAAGCACACATCCAGCAACAATAACGATTTCAAAGGTCAATATTTCTTCACCTTGTTCATATATATAGATATTTTCAACAAATCAGTGAGGTCATGTCATGTTTATCCCATTGCTTCATCCAAAAATATTGATCGAAATAATTATCCGCATATATAGTAAGTACTGTTGAAAATATTGTGAATGAGCAAAGCTAAATGGGAAGGATTTGTCAAGCCATGCAAAAGCATCTATAAATATTTAAAGCATTATTTGAGAAAGGGAGTAGTCTGTCTGTGATGCCAAAATTTACTGGCTATTTTGCTGCAGTTATGGTAATGTGTTCATGTCTAAAGCCACAGATATCATTAAGTCGGTCATCGTATACCAATATGGTGTCACCTACTTCAATTGATAATAAATTAGGTTTCGTTTTGCAAGGATGAGTTTCTGCAATAATCTTACATAGCCAAATCAAAAACTTGATACTTCAATCGATAATCAGTAATCAGGGTTTAATTGATAATTCAAACAACCTTATTCTTATAATTGTAGCAATATTTTATGGCTGAAATATTTTCAAATGTTTGAGTAAAAGATGAAAGCGAATTTATCTCACATGTTCGCTTACATATTCCACTTAAAAATAATTTAGTAATTATTTCTGCTATAAAATTTTGGCAAAGATATTTTGAATTTGTGAAGTAAAATAAGTCTTGAAAAATGCTATGATAAGGGATTAGAATGAAATAGGATTAAAATGCGGAAAACGGAGACAGACACACATTGATGAATGAAAACGCTCCTCCTATTTCGCTGAATGGCTATCGAATTGTTGTGCAGGAATGAGTTCTACAGTAATCTTGTGTTGCTAACTGAAAAAGTCGAAGAACAAATGCTGTATATGAGGAAGTTCGGAGTGCGGGATGAATTCTTAAAATGCATTCTGCCTCAATACTCAATCATACTGTGGTTACAACATGATTACTTTGCCCTGATGTTATCACTTTTTAAAAAAAAAAATGAAAACGGAAAAGTTCAACAGATGTTTCAATGTAAATCCCGTACTTTTTAACAGATTTCTTTTAGACAACATCAGAGGAAGCTAGAAATATTTATTTTTCATTTAATACCTTATGTATAAAATTGTTTCATCATTAATCTAGCGGGATAATGTAGCTTCTACAATCAGATAAAATTGGCGGCAAGAAGGGAACTTCAGCAAAGGTGCTGCCGACAAAAGCTTTGTGATCAGTACAAGAAGCTTTATGGGATTTTTTATCCTTGTCTTCCTTCATTCTGGAGGTGAAAGATGGAGCAGTATGAGAATGAAGGTTATAATACCTACTATTATTTTAAGTTCAATTCCAAAATTGAATCGTCCATAGTTTTTGTCGCCTACCTGTGCTGCCACCGAGAATCATATTGTCTTTGTGTGTGAATTTTCTAAAGAGCTCAATTCATAAATTTTCCAATAGCACAACTTGTTTTAAATTTGCAGACTAGAAGTGATATGTGTCATTTTACCTGTCACACGCATAATGCACAAAGGAAATAATCGGGAACGTTAAATATAAATTAGGGACGTAAGTTGGCATTTTATAAATACCTAATCAGACAACAGTGTAAATGACATGATTAACTGGTCAAAATTTCTTTTAATGAAAAGGGATCACCGTTTCAGTTTTTAAAAGTGTGAAATATCTGGAAGCGTCCGGTCTTTACTAGAATGGACAGTAAGGTTTCCTTAACTTGTTTAAGACCTATGGAAAGTATGCTACTGAAAATGCCGATAAATGATTAAAAAAGAATTGTGTTAATGAAGAATTTTAAAAAATATTTGAGGAAAATCCGTTCTGTATGAAATAAAAATGGAATATGGAGTATGGATAATGAAATGAGACTTTTACGCAAAATGATCCAATATGATAATAAATTATAAGTTCAGGAAACCTTTTTATCTTTGGGCGACAATTTCAATAAGGTTATAAACTAACTGAAGTAAGTTTTCGAGAGAAAAAATAACAATAGCAATAATAATGTGGTTCATATGTCAATCAGATATAGAAATAAATGTTTTCAGTGCCTACTTCCAGTTTGAAAGCTTAAAAGTGAGGAATTTATATTAATCAAAATTCTAATTTTTTGCAATCGATATGATGACCGCCATGAAACTAATTACTAATGACCTCTGCATTGGTACCAAAATGGCAAATATTTAAATCGAAGTTTCATATTTCCCATACACCGATGATCTGTGACCTTAGGTCAAAGATCACCTGACATCGCAATCAACAATTCTGCTCGGTGTTGTCCTTACTTGAAGAATTTAGAGGATGACGAAAATAATTTAATTTTAGGGCCAAAAAAAAGGTTTTTCTCAACCAACTGGACAGTAATTAATTGTCGCTTGAAAGTAATCTAGTAATTGGGCAAACCATACTGCTGAAAGTACTTCTCTGATGAACGAGTTGAGGACCGCCTGTACAGAGCAATATTCAGAAAAAACACCAGGTAATTTGTAGTAAAAAAGTAATTAAATTATTAAAATTAAAATCAGGTATGGATGAAATATCGATTTGTCTACTTTGTGCCAGTGATTTTATCACTTTTAACTTTATCCATATTATTGGATGAATATCATCTTTTAAACTTCTTTATTGCGGTCTACAAAAGAATTTATGTAAGGAAATCTGACAAGACCTTTTAAGCTTATAAGCTTTAACTTTTGAATTGCTTTTAATTGTCTGTAAAGCAAAAAGCGAACTATCATTGATGGTGGTTCGTTTACTCTTTTCCAAAACAAATACTTCGGAACTGTAACTTTGCTGAAGTTTCTTGGCTAGTTTGTTCTTCATCTTTCATGTTATTCTTTAAGCAGGTAAGAATATATAAATTTTCAACTGAGTATGTATAACATTTATAATAAAAGGTATATAAAATAGTTCGGGTTCTAACTTTTGATTCTGAGAGCATCTGCTAATTCACCAAAACTTTTTTTATTGCTATATTTCCAGTTTTTTCTTTGATGATGTATCTGTAGTCAATTTTACAATCCTCATGATTAGTGAGCACTTTATGGTGACCTCAATTAATTGACATAGGTTGCTAATTTTCGTTTTGCTTTGGCTACACGATTCGATGGCTTATTTCAAGGGTTATACATGAAAATGTTTACGATGAAATGTTCAAGTGAGTTTTTTTATGGAAGACTATATAAATAGTATGTCACAATCAGATGGCTTTTTTTGAAGGATATTATATCTTTCAACCATATTATTTTGTATTATTCCTAGAAAAAAAGTAAGTCATTAGTTAAAGGAAATTACAAGGGTTTGTTTGGCAATCATACATAAAAAGAGGAAATTAGTCTGATCTTTTGTTAATCATTTCCTGATCGTTTTTTACACTCCATGAAACTTATATTAATAAGAAAAGCTTAGGGTATGTATCAAACTTCTGCTTTATTCGTCCACCTGAAATCCATTCTTATCTTTAAAGCAATTGACCTGAGCAGTTCTCTCCAACGTTGCAATAGTCACTTTACGCAATGACATTGTCATTATTTCTCAACATTCATCTCATAAATATAGCGACAATCTCAGTTGATTTATTAGTTGTCAGTATTAATGTCTTGTAATGATTAAAGATCAGTTTTCCTATAAACTTATTACTGATCGTAATTTGAATTGTTGCTAACAAAGGAGGTCTTCAGAAAATCAAATTTCAACAACAAATGAACTTTCTTTGGAGTGGAACGTTTCTTATTTCCCTTGGTTTTAGATGTAAGGTCAATTGTTGTTCCTTTTCAAAATTCTTAAAAATGTGCGTTTGGGTGAAATCTTTCACAAAAGGGCACAGTTTGACAAACAGCATTTGCAAGCCTTCAGGAGAATGGCTATCTCTATATAGTATCCAATCCTATAACTTTAATGATCAAACAAATTTGGCAGCGATTTCTTTACTCATTTAATGTCTTCTATGAGCAACAAATAGAGACTATCTATGTATTTGTAATCGCAACAACAAACGAAACAGTGAATTCTAACCAATATATTAACAATAAATAAATAACTGTCAGAGATCTTACATGATTCGAACCATTGGCGGAACAAATGTAATGATAATGAAAAGATTTACCAAAAATTTTTAGTAAAAAAAAAACTGTTGGAATTAGTTTAAAGTTTAAAAATTGGTTTGAATTACTTCGAAACAAGAGTAGAACGGCTATTGTGAGAAATTTGCGAGACCAGTCCGAGTAAAACATTATTTCAATAAAAAGCCATGTTAGAGGAAATGTGACGGGACATTTTCCACGAGCTCTTATGAATTTATTCGATTTCCCTTGAACGTGAGAAATTCTTCATACTTCAAGTGCATCCATTTGTCATTTTCTGTCCAATCATCTTCATCCAGAAAATCACTCATCATTATTTCATGTTGTTGGGAAAAATCGAGAGATTTTGTATAGAAATGTCAAAATAATCCGAGTATTTCTGTATTATAAATATTTTAGAATAATTGATGTAAACTCATAACAATATAAATTTGCATGAAGATTGTTTTAATTTGAGGACTTATTAGATGAATCATTCATTATACCTAAAAACAATAATATAGAAACAATACAAATGTTTCGATCCTGAAATGATGAATCACTCACCCAACCTTACCTCCTAAATTCAACCGAAATTTCATAATCAAATTCATTTACAATCATATTTATTTACAATAATGAATTTTGCAGTAATCTTTCATCAATTTGTTATTTTAACTTAACTGCAACATTTAGATTGTAACAATTAAAGTCCTTGCTGATGAAGTCTTTTGTTCGACCATCTCATATTCCCACGCTAAATTACAGTAACCAGCAAAGTTCCTCTACTGCAACCTTCTTCCAATCTCGTAAAAAGCAATATGTACATTCTGCGAATATTGCAAACCACTCCCACTATTAACAGGAGAGCCAATCACTCAGGATCAGATGGGTCCTTATCGCTCCTCGACGAACGTTTCCGAAACCTGCAAGGATTTACAAACCAATCCAATAATTGACCCTACCTGTATTATCCACTGATACTTGTTCATGACCTAAGGAAGTAATACTCCTAAACCAGGAAGCCTTCCAC